AGTCACTTATGAGCGATTACTACTACAAGCAAAAATATTCCTCCTGGAGAGGAGGCAATGAGGGGTGTTCCAAGTGGTGGAATTGCATCAGAGCTACTACTGCAAGGATCTCTTCATTGATGTTGGATATCAGTTTTCATATATTTACAGACGTAAAAATAATTTTTTGCATGTATGAGAGTGTCCATAATAAAGCAAATATAGGGTAAGTGAGAGGGTAAACCTTATCTAAGCCCAATTGAGGGAGAAAGGAAATCATTAATACCACCATTAAGATAATGCAAAAAAGAACATTTGTGATGTATGATTTAAACAACGAGTTACGCAGATTCAACAACCTACAAGACTTATTAAGACGCCATGTTAATTGCATCGAATGCCATTAGAACAACACACAAAGGTGAGTCAGATTTTCTCTGATTAAAATCTTTAAGGATCGAAAGCCTAGCTAGTTGTCAGAAATATGCACAGCTTTGATAAAAGTTTGCTTGGTATGAATAAGGAGGGCTTGACAGTTATGAATCTAATTGATAAGGTTTTAACCGTAAAATTCTATTCATCAGAACCTGGATTTTGCTAAAGATAACTGACTAATCCAACTCATCTACAGTTAAATAGTCATATCAAAATTTATCAGTAATTTTATTGGCTTTAAACTTATAGACGATTGTCTTTCAGATTTACAAGTACAGTGGAGAAGTGTTTTTTTTTTTTTAATTGAACAGGAGTTTTTCAAGGTGGATATAACCGTTTCAGTCTCTTATCTAGCACAGATTAGGTCAACACTAAAAAACGTATCCCATGTAGAAGAGATCAGGTGCCAAAATTTTGCTGGACGGTTCTTTAAGAAAAACATGTTCAGTGTTTAAGTGTTGTGTCAGTGAAGACAACTAACTATAAAGTGATCACACTGGGAAATTATTCTGTGCAGACTCCAAATGCAAAGGATCGTCTGGATTAGTGCTTATTTATTGAGTATTTAAATACACAGTAAATAATTAGCAAAAATAAACAAATACTCGTTCAATACTCAGCAAATACTCACAACTGATGATTTGCTGAGTATTTACTGCATATCTACAAATACGCAGCAAATCCGAATGGTCTCTACATTAGAAGTCCGCACAGAATAATTTCTCCATCACAGTAGAGGGTGTATTTTCGCTTGAGCAGGCAAACAGTCCATGATTTTAGATTTTCACAAGCTTAATACGATGGCTAAAGCAATCTAATTCATTATTACTTTTTACCTCATACGCCACAATCAGCAATGATCTTTATAAGGATAAAGAATTATCTACATAACCATTATATATATGTACTCTAGCATATATTAAGTGACACCATCTAATTTACCCTGCATTTACTGATAATCTATCTCCATGCCTACGACTGTCGTTTGTGGAGATTGCAGTAGTTAACTAATCAGAGCAGAAACAAATGGAATTTTGGTTCCATGACTTACAGAATGATGCATGTGCTTCTTCTATCTTACATGATTTGATGTATGTTGAGAAGTGACGGACAAAATTGCACATATAAACATAAGAGGAAAAAAAATTTACAAAGTGAAGCAAAGCACCCAAAAGAAAAATAACATGATCAACATAAAGGTCTGATGAAACAATCTAATATTTAATTATAAATTTAAATTGTCATCAATAGAATATCAAATTAACCTTTTCAGATTAATGAAAGGTTCTTAAGTAATAAAATTTTTATTCACAAAATAATACATGAGAAACAAAAGAAAAAAAAATATATGGTAAGTATTGATTAGATAATATTTAAGTTAAAAAAACCATAAAATTAAGCTGATTTTGACTATAACACTATAATTTGTCATGGGAGATTTCTAGCCCTGGTTCAATGCGCCAAATTGATGTCCTCACTGAGGGGAAGAGGGGGCATCTGGTGCCACAGTACTTCAGTAGATCAAAACTACTTTCTCAAAATCTATAGCCATGTCCAGGGGCTCAAGAACATTTCATTATTTACTAAATAGGGCCTAAGTAAGGCTGGCATGTAATGGTAATCCAATTCAAAAAAGGGGACACCATCCAAAGCATGAATGGATGGGGCTAAGATTTTGAACTTCAAAAATAAAATTTCCGATTAAAATTTATATTTCAAGGAAAGGAACCATGATAGATAATTTGTTATGTGAGGTTTCTTCACTCAGCCAGTAAGAGAATCTGACCTTTTTTCCCGATAAGAGGATGAAACAAAATGGCCAAGAGCAAGAAACCTTTGCTTGCTGAGACCTGTAAAAAGAGAAATAAAAGGCTTCAAGTAATTCTGACGAGGCAGAAATAGAAAAAAATATATATACAATTGAACTTCTGATTCAAAAAAGAAACAGTAATGTGGCATCCCAATTTATATGTTTGTGAGCGCAGATGAAAAAGCAAAAACGGAAAAAAAAAAAGAAAGAAATATCAACAATCATACAAACGTAATGATGAATTAGAAGTTAAGATTTGATGCAAATAAAAAAAGATAAGCCTACTATGTATGCAAATAAACGCTTCCTTTCTAAAAACTTAAATCAAACACAACAACACTTCAAATTAAAAAGACACAACACATTACAATCTTTTGAGAAGAAAGATACAATGGAATGGTAACTTGCGGAGAGAAAAAATAGATTAGAAAACAAGACGAAGTCATAGAGGGGAAGGGGATAGAAGCTAGCTCGCAAGCTAGAGAAAACCCTCAAGTTTTTTCTCCAAAAATCAGCACCTATTCTTCATTTTTTAAATAGCCACAAAATAGCCCTATAAATAGAAAATAAAAGGAGGCCAAAAGCCATGCTCGGCCGCCCACTACAGCCAACCAAAAGGAGAGAAAAAAACAACAATAAAGGCATGTTTAAACCCCCACATGAACAGCCACAGCAAGGGAACCGGGACAGCTAGGGAGCAGGAACCGAACAACCAACAAGGGGAACCGGGAAAGCAAGGAGCAGGAACCGAACAGCCCAGCAAGGGAAATTGGGAAAGCACGGAGCAGGAGCAGAAACCGAACAACCCAAAGCAAAGTAAACCGGGAAAAGGAGGGGGAGCATTGCTTACATCAAGATTTTAAAGGATCGCATGTGAAGCTTTAAGAATAAGGAACACCATTAGTATCTAAAAGGCGTGTGTATGGGCAGGGGTGTGGTAGGCAATTGCCGACGAAAAGGAAACTTTTTGTTAGTTTGATGGGGACATCAGATTTCGACACGTGTACTATCGCCGACGGCGCAGATCGACGGCTACGATCCAGAGCCTCTACTTTTGAGTTTTACAGCTTATGTCATGTATTATTTTCTTAGTTTTCCTAGTTTGCCCCTGAAGGCATTGTTTGACTTATGTAGCCCCGAGGGCATTTATGTCTTTTCTTTTCTTTAAGTTTGAGCCTCCTTATATGAGGCATTATGCATTGTAATCTTTTAGCTTTTGATGAAATGAAATTTGCCACTTATGTTCTCTTTGTGAGTTCACCCTCCTCGATCTCTTAGTGAATTCATAAGAGGAGACTAGATCTCTTAGTGAGTTCTAGGTGTTCTTGTTCTACTATTTTCGTGAGTTCTTTTGATCATTTCGTCGACGTGGAGATTTGGATCGAAGCATTTGTAGAGTTGGAATTCCCGTTTGAATTCCTCAATTTTTCCCCTACCATTTCTCCATCTCCTTGCTCTGCCGCCGCCTCTTCCAAGCAATCCAGCCAGTCCCCCCCGCCGGCCATCTTCCCTCCAAGCATTGGCCACGGATCCAGCCCCTCCCGTGCAGCTCGCGCCCCTCTCCTCCCCCGTCCTCAACCCAACACCACCCAGCCGTGAGCCCTCTTGACCTCACAGCACCGAATTCCCCTGCACCCGTGACTGCCGTTACTCCCTGTTGCCAGCCTGTGAAATCAAGCATTCAAGGCCTGATTAATTGGCTCATTCAATCAACCATAATTGAGCAAATAATCACTAGCCTTGGATTTCAATTTGAATTTCAAAAAAAGGGGTTGCTTATTGTGTACATCTATGAAAGGAAACTTTCCTTTTAGTGAATCCTAATTTTATTACAGGATTTATGTAAAATCTGTTACGTATTTATGTGGGCCCCATTTGAGTAAACACCTAAGCCTTCTCTCCTCCATGTGGCTGGCCCATTGATGGGCTCTTCTCTCCTTCTAATTCGACAACAATAACACCCCAAAATCAGCCCAAAATTATTCCCCTCTCACCGCCCCATTAACACCATTTGAATTAATTTGAATCCATCAATTAACTCCCTCCCACCTCTACCAAAACCGAAATTCCTGCACCCAAATTTTGGTCTCTCCCTTGGCCGAATTCTCGCAAGCCCGCCAAAGCTCGCGTGCTTCTCCCGGGAATCCTCGAGCCACTTCTCCTTTGCTCTTGAGAGCGTATTGCAGCGACCACTTACTCGTATCCTCAAGAATGTATGGAGGAACCCGAATGGAATTTCGGGTATGAGTACGACAACCGCGGAAGGGTCAATATTCTCCGATCGCCTTTCTTCGACGTCGGTTTCAACTTTGACGATACCGTCGAGAAATACTTGGAGAGGATTCTACCACCACTAGTGGAGGCCATTGACGACCACTTCTCCGTCTACACGTGGATCATTGAAGGACGACCACCCACTCCTCCGATTCCGGCTCCCTCCCCGGCGACGAGTCCCCTCAAGATCACTTGTCTACTCGTAGCGTCGCTAAGCCTACTTACGGTCCTTTTCCGCTAAGCCTCCACTTCAAATTGAGTGACGGATCCTAAGGTGAAGTTCCAGCCACTGTTAAGCTTCGTTTAGAAGACTTTAGGCCTTGCGTAGTTGCTGTCCAGTGAAGCAAACCCCTTCTTCACTTTTAGGCAACTTAAATCTGTGTTGTAAGTTGCTGTCCGCTGCAAACCAGCAGCTTAGAGAAGCTTTAGGACCTTTCTACCGGAGTGTCTAGGTGCTGCCCACTATTCCTTTACCCACCCTAGTGATCCCTAAACTTTCCTCATGGATCCCCAGCATCTCCAAGCTACCTTGGACCTTATTTTAGGACAACTAGGCACCGTTACTCAACAAATTCGCAACACCCAAACTGATCTAGCTGACTTTAGGCGCCACACGAGTGACCGATTAGATAATATCGAGCGTAATGGGAATCCTGCAATTTATACGCCATCAAGACCTCACTCACCTTATGGCGAAGACAACCGACCCGATCATGAACCCCCGCGAGATCCCGGACGTTTTCAAGACCATTACCAACGCAACCCGAGGCCACCTCAAGAGCCCATAGGGGACGACAACACTTGGAGAGACAACGACGCTCAATTACTAAAGAACATTAGGATTGACGCCTCAACGTACGACGGGACCCTTGACCCTCAAGTTTTCCTAGATTGGCTCAAGTCAATGGATAGTTATTTCAAATGGTACAACATCTCTGAGGCTAGGAAAGTTAGGTTCGCCGAAATGAAGCTCATTGGTCGAGCCAACCTGTACTGGACCAACTTAGAAAACATGCGCGAAGCTCGCGGTGAACACCCTATCAGCGATTGGAGAACCATGAAGCAAGAACTTAGGAGAAAATACCTCCCACCATCCTACTATCCTAAACTCCTAGATAAGTGGAATAGACTGACTCAAGGAAGCAAACCTGTTAAGGACTACATCTCTGCCTTCGACGATTTCTTGATTCGTTGCAACGGAGAGGAGTCCGCCACCCCAACCCAAATCCCATCCATGTTTAGAGCTGGCCTTAGGGAAGATCTTAGAACCGAACTGTTTGCTAGAGGAATAGACACCTTAGAGGCCGCTTGCAGCCTGGTTCTTGACCTAGAAGAATCCAAGACCCACTCCCACACTAGGAAGTTTGATGTCCGTCCTAACCCCTATCGAACCTCTACTAGCCAGACCCAAAATCGATCTACGAACTCGATAGGTAGTCGACTCACTGCCAGTTCGACCCCACCTCGCCCAGACTCTAAAGGTAAGGCCCCCGAGCGCGAGACGCCCAAAACCAACTCAGGAACCAAATGTTATAGGTGTCATGGGTATGGGCACATTGCGTCCCAATGCTCCAGCCCATATAAGGTTACCATTATAGAAGAGGATGATGATGACGAGGACGAACCTGAGACTGACATAGTTCATCATGTTGATGAAGAAGAAGACTCCTTTATGGAAGAAGAACCTGTTACCCTTCAGGTTGTTAGATGCGCTTTGACACAACCCAAGTTAAGCGATGATTGGCGTAGGACTTCCATTTTTCATACCTTTGTTAAGATTGGGGAAAAGAACTGCAAGGTTATCGTCGATAGTGAAAGTTGTATCAATGCAGTCTCTTCTGCTATGGTTTCCAAGCTCAACCTCAAGATGACCCCTCACCCGAATCCGTATAAGGTTGCTTGGATCAACTCGACTACAATAGAAATTAAGGACCGCAGCCTCATTCCCATAGAATTCGTGGGATATCAAGACAAGATTTGGTGTGATGTTTTGGCCATGGACGTAGGTCAAATTATCCTGGGTCGCCCATGGTTATTTGACAATGACGTTCATATCTATGGGAGGTCGAACACCTGCGTGTTCGAACACAATGGAAAGAAAATTAAGTTAATACCCTCCCAACCCAAACCCCCCAAGACGGAAGCCAAGCCTACTCCTGCTAAACAAAGCAAAGGGCTACACCTCTTGACTGCTAAGGAAGTAGAAGATGAAATCACCCAAGGAGCACCAATGTATGCCCTAGTAGCTATAGAAGTGGATGAGGATCAAAAAGAGCAAATCCCCGAGGAAGTTAAACCCCTTCTTGAGAATTTTGCTGATGTGTTCCCTGATAACTTACCTAACCAACTGCCACCCCTTCGGGACATACAGCACGCCATAGATTTAGTGCCGGGAGCATCCCTACCCAACCTCCCTCACTACCGTATGAACCCGACCGAGCATGCGGAACTGAAGAAACAAGTCGATGAGCTCCTTCAACGAGGATTCATTAAGGAGAGACTTAGTCCGTGCGCTATTCCTGCACTCTTAACTCCCAAGAAGGACGGCTCGTGTCGGATGTGTGTTGATAGCCGCGCTATCAACAAAATAACCGTCAAGTATAGGTTTCCCATTCCCCGTTTGACACTCTTTTCCAAGATAGATCTTAAGAGTGGATACCATCAAATTAGAATCCGTCCAGGAGATGAATGAAAGACGGCTTTTAAAACAAAAGACGGGCTGTATGAGTGGATGGTCATGCCATTTGGCCTTAGTAACGCTCCTAGCACATTCATGAGAGTTTTGACTCAAGTCTTGCGACCTTTCTTAGGAAAATTCGTTGTAGTGTTTTTTGATGGCATCCTAATCTACAGTCGCTCCGTAGACCTGCATTTACATCACCTAACTCAAGTATGTGAGGTTTTGAGGAAAGAAAATTTGTACGCTAACCCAAATAAGTGCGTATTCCTCACGGACCGAGTTACCTTCCTAGGATTTATCATATCTCCTCAAGGAATCTCCGCAGACCCCGAGAAAGTCCAAGCAATTAACGAGTGGCCTGAACCCAAAAATATCAGAGATGTTCGGAGTTTCCATGGATTGGCCACCTTTTACAGGAGGTTTATCAGAAATTTTAGCACGATTGTAACACCCATAACTGATTGCCTGAAGAAAGGAGAGTTCCGTTGGACTGCGAATGCAAGCAGGGCTTTTGAGGATATTAAGCTAAAAATGGTAGAAGCCCCTGTCATGCGCCTACCTGACTTTTCAAAAGTCTTTGAAGTAACTTGCGACGCCTCAGGGATTGGAATAGGTGGAGTCCTATCGCAAGAAGGCCATCCCGTGGCCTATTTCAGTGAAAAGTTAAATGACATACGTCAACGATACTCTACCTATGACAAAGAGTTTTATGCGATCATCCAAGCCCTCAGATATTGGAGGCATTACCTCCTGCCACAAGAATTCGTGATATTTTCGGACCACGAGGCTCTACGTTACATTAATTCCCAAAAGAAACTCAATGCCCGCCACGGCCGTTGGGTTGAATTCCTGCAAGAGTATGCTTACACGATTA